TGTCTCAACAAAAATTAGCTAAGACGTAGTAAAAAGCTTCTTATTATTTCTATTTAAAAGTGTGCTAAGCTGTCATGAGCAAATTGTATGTTTATAAGCCCCAACACTGAAAGTCAAATATTTGAAAGATTTCCTTGCTCTTCCACAGCAACCAAAAAACCAAGAAAATGAACTTGTCTGGTGGTATTGTCAAAAGACCACTTTAGGAGCCAAAATCCTGGAGGAATATAGAGGCGAAATGTAATGATGCAGAGATTATTTAATAGTTGCAGGTATCTGCAGTGTTACACTACTCCTATATAAAAGGAAGGCTTGATTTGCATCAGGCAACCTAGCTGCTGCCAAAATACAGAGCCAGATCTGGGCAGTCAACAAGCAGAGTATGTTCAACTGGGAGCCTGAAGTACATGAATTCTAGCCAGGAAATCCAAAGCTGCTCATGCTCTGATTATGTTTGAAGCTGAATAGAAGTTCAAAGTTTATGTAAGAAATAATTTCTTTTTCAAACTAAATAATGAGTTGACTCATTCCTGATTGTAAAAATAATTCACTCAGTACAATAGGAAAGAGGGTTGTTTACCATGTATCAATGCAGAAATCGCATGCCATGAGACCAGACAAAATTGACTACAATATTGCAAGTAACTACAGCAATAGAAAATACCTGAACAGCACAGCTGCATTCTTAGATGTGTGTAACACAACAAACAAATCTTTTCATACATCTATTTCTAGCAGGAATGCAGAATATGAAGACACAAAAAACTAGTTGTACAACCAAAACCTGTAAACAATTTGTTGCTAGTATTTTCTAACATATATATCGGAGTCACAGACCAACACAACAGGAATTCCTACTAATTACACTTTTTTCAAATTCAACAAAGTCCAACATCAATGTAATGTAATATGCAATTAAATAATGTAATATCAAGTAAACACCAATATCAAATGACAATTTTGTGTGTACCTGAAAACATATAAATGCACTGGTATAAATACCTTCCACAGTCAAAAAGAGGACTCAAGTTATGATTCTGACTGCCTCAAGTCACTTCACAATGTCACTTTACAGAAGAAGAGGATTCTTTGAATTTCCTCTTTTAAAGTATAATTTTTAATAACTTTTACAAGCAACGTTGGTGTACTCATAAGATTCCTCTACTGAAAAATCTACAAATTGAACTCAGAAAGGCTTAAATTGCACCAACTGGCCAGTAGCTTCAGCTGAACAGTTAAAAATAGAAAGTCAGCAGCTAACACATTGACACCGGTGCAATTGTCATCCATCAATGACAAACCATGCCCCAGCTTTTCATGATCCCTTCAAGGAGTACACTACTATTATTTTTATAAAAAGCTCAATATTGGTTGATGCTAAAACAGTAAAGAATTTAAAATAATATCAAAATGTCAAAGTAGTTCAGCAATTATTTTCTCATGGGTAGAGTCCTCTTGAGTGCCTTTTAAACAGTTTAACAAAAGTATTTTCCCTTTCAAATGATTCCAAGCTGTACTTCAGATCTGCTACCACTGCTAACACATAATAACAACATTTCTTAGTTTGCATCTATCTCAATACACACACGTGCAAGTGGAAGAAATATATGTGCATTTCAAAGTTATAGCATAATTTAAATACATGAAATTAAGCTTAATAAACAGAATTATTTTACTCTCAGAATGTTTGTGGCTAAATAATATAATTCCTTCAGACTTGATAGAAATTTCCCAGAAGTGCTCAAGTGTGCGTATTTGTAGACATAATGGTAAAGATTTAACCGATTATGTTAGCCATCTTATATCAATCCATTCTTTAATCCATATGGAGACATTAATCTGAATACTATCCAGTCCATTACACACCAGAAGAAGAATATGGGTATTTTTCAACGGAAAACTAATAGAATGAACCAAAACTAACAGCAGGATCTGAAGAAAAGTTGTTTATATAAGCAGAAGCAAATACTGACAGACATTCTCATTCTTTTGGCTTTGAGTGATATCATATACATACCGTTATTATCTATAGCTTTATAATATTAAATAATTTATTGTAATGTAATTCAATTACAATATTTTTAAACAATTCCTTAGTAAATACATACATTATAAGATATGCAATATAAAGTTTGAACATTCATTTTTATTTCATAAACTACATACCTATATTACATGTTCTGTTTTCTGGAATAGTTTAACCACAGATCATTCTATGAATATATATAAAGTTGGAAGGCAAAATCTACAGTAATATATTTTGTTAAACAAAGCCAGGAAATATTTTGATGTGAAAAGAAAAATGTTTGATAATTTCATGCTAACTCTGATAAACTTCCCCTCCCAACCCCTTCNNCCCCCCCCCCCCCCAAAAAAAAAGAACTGCTGGTCATACGATCATTAAATAAAAGGGGTTTTGTTACTCTTAATTACAAAACTCTTTGGAAATATTTTTTTCAGATTGTTCAAAACAAGCACAGAAAAATTTTCACTTCCAGGATAGTTAAAGGGTATATCCTATTCCAAAATAATCAGTGTTCTCAAGCATATTTAATTTATTTTTATTTTTATTCGAAAGAAGTGATCTGTTCCAATTCTGTTTTCAGAATTGCTTACATTTGTATGACTATGATAAAGGTGAAAAATTAATATATGTTTTCTACTAGGAGGATTAAAAACTAATTCATTCTAGTCAGTGGCATAGTATTTATCTGCATTTGTAACAAACTCAGGAGTCTTAAAGGTGCACATAAACTTTGTGATATTTCACTTGTTATACATACTCATGAAATACTGAATTCTGTAGTTAGCTGCATAACATTTTAAACTCATAACTCAGTGTCTGCATAATTATTTTTACAGATACATGCATCTCTCAAGCTACTGAAGTTAGGTCTTCGATACACAGAGCAGCACACAGAAGAGCTGAAACAATTCTGTGGTTCCCTGGACTAGATTCCTGCACTGATTCAATGATTCACTACAGAATTTTAGCTGTGTAAAAACTTTGAGTCAAAGAAATATATATATATATATATTTCTAAATCTCTTCTCAGTTTTACTTTAAAAAAATTGCATGATCATTAATCCGAATAGTGCTACATTGTCTTGTATCACAGAATCATAGAACAGCCTGGATTGAAAGGGACCACAATGACCATCTAGTTTCAACCCCTCTGCTATGTGCAGGGTCGCCATCCACCAGACCAGGTTGCCCAGAACCACATCCAGCCTGGCTTTGAATGCCTCCAGGGATGGGGCATCCATAACTTTCTTGGGCAACCTGTTCCAGTGTGTCACTGCCCTCTGTGTCAAAAACTTCTTCCTAATATCTAACCTAAACCTCCCCTGTCTCAGTTTAAAACCATTCCCCCTTGTCCTATCACTATCCACCCTCGTAAACAGCCGTTGTCCCTCCTGTTTATATATTCCCTTCAAGTATTGGAAGGCCACAAAGAGGCCTCCCCAGAGTCCTCTCTAGTCTTTGTAGTGTGAAAGGTCAAACATTTATCAGGTATAGAAGAAGCTCGAAATGTTTTATTGAAAAGTAATCTGCACAAAGAAAAACGCCACACTTGTTTTAAAACATCTTCTTAACATTTTTAATTTTCTATGGTTAATTCTTCTCTGGATAAATATCAGACTTTTGCTGAAGTAAACAGTCAACCTAATCACGCTTTGAATATGAATAGCAAAAGCATATGCAAATATCATGTTTTGCAAGCATATTATACTAGAAGAAATAAACAAAAACTTCTATCAAGTTCTTCAGTTCATGAATATTGAAGTCATATAATTGTCAAAATATGACCACAGTGTACTTATCCTCTGTTGGAAATTCAAAAGTAGCAATGTATTTGTATAATACTCTCAGCAGGCAATGATCTCATGTAATCCTTTGAATTACAGAGCATTATCAGGTGTAGAACAGATGTATTTAAGTCTGGTTTTTGGCAGTTTTTTTATTTCCTGGAAACCAGTAGAGAACTGAAATGTGGTGTGACCCTAATAATTAAAAATACTACTGGCTAAATCAAAAGGTTGCTTCTGAAGGTCAAAATTGAGAGAGAAAAACTACATTAATTATAGCAAAATTGTCATTTTAATCTTCTGACATACCAAAAGAGACTGCATCACAGTCAGTTAGTGAACATACCTACCACCTTTACTTGAGTAAAGCTTTGGGAACAGCTGGGCAGATAACAATCTCAGCTAACACTGACATTTTATCAGATAGACATACATTTGAAGTACAATAACATTTCATTGTTGTAATAGCTTCCAGATAGAGAACACCTCATAAAAACCTTTGCCTTTTATACCCACCAACCTGATCTAGCCAACATCAAAACTGGTTTTCTGTATTCTAGGTGAACAGATTTCAAAGGACCAGTAAATTCGAAAAATAGTAATGACTTAAATTGAAAGCATGCTCCCAAGTTGAACTCAACTAACTCATTTTCCTCTTCAGAAAAAATATATCATACAGGACACACAGAAAAAACACCTACTGATCACTCTCTGTGGTGGCAAGAAACCAATAGACAATTAGATCAGCCCATATACACTTTTTCATGGCAAAATGTAATATCCAGGTATATTTTCTGAGGATATAGTTAATATATCATAGAATCAGAGTATCAAAGACGCGTTGCATGGCCTGGGTTATAAGGAACTTTTTAAAGATAATCTAGTTCCAACCTTCCTGCCATGGGCAGGGTTGTCATCCACTAGATCAGGCTGCTCAGGACTCCATTCAACTTGGCCTAAAATACCTTCAGGTACAGAACATCCACAGCTTCTCTGAGCAACCTGTTCTAGTGTCTAAAATAGGGCAAAGTTGCACTTATATCAGAATATATACAAAAAGTATAAGCATAAGTGGTATGTGCCATTTCTAATCCAAAAATTCAGGATTTGCGCGTAATATGAGAAAGATAATTGAAACTACAGTTTATTACTAGAAGAAATAGGATACATAAAGTCACTGTGATACTTACCACTGTGAAATTCATGACCTTCAAAATCCATATTGTCATTGCTAAGTTAACAATCATGGTAACCAACAGCAGAAGTACAAAGAAGTATAAGCACCTCTTTCGCCATCCATAAATCCCTACTGGGTAAAATTGAGGATTTTCAGTCCTTGAAAGGCTGTTCTGTTGTGTTGCTAAAATATACTGCTCACGTGTCATCTGGAGGAAAAAAAAAAAAAAAAGAGATATAAGTAACAATGAGAGCTCTGCATTTTACAGATTTTATTACATGAAGACTATCTGAGAACATACAGTAATCAATTTCTATGGGCACAGAAGGGATGGATTAATTTGGAATAAGCCATATAAATATTAACTTAGTACTTAGTAAGTGAAAAACACCAGATTCTACTTATGCCCCAAAATTGTAAAAATTACTGAAGTATTTCGTGTTTTATAATCGACTTCTGAAGACCATTTTAGTGTTCATCATAAGGTCATTCAGAAAAAAAACTGTTTTGTAGAAATAAATCACGGGACACTCATGTACAAATAAAAGAAAATTCTATTTCCAGAAACGTTTATCATAAATTATCACTCTTTTATAGTAATCATAAAATAAATGTAATAATTTATACTATCATATATGCTTATGTATGTTATATACGTTTTTTAAAAAGTATGCCATTGTATATACCATATTTTACAAAAGGAGAAACAAGAAAACCCTTCTTAGCTTTAATTTTCTTTTAAGATAAGAAGATACTGATACAACAACTGGTTTTGTTTTTTCTTTTTTTTTTTTTTTTGTGAGCCTAAGGTCTTCTAGCAAAACAACAAGAAGTAACTGTTTGCAAACAACTTAAATCTTAACACTAAATCTTCTTCACAGCAAAAATGTATAAAGCATTTAATAAGAAACCATGTTACACTTTCTTAACTTTTTTTCTTTCTAATCATCAACTGTCTTTTATTGAATTTCCAAAACATTAGAAGAGCAAATAAGGTACTTCAATACTTTTAAAACACGAACTGCATGAACCTCGTTAAACTGTGCAATATGACAGAATATCAACAACTGTTCACACGAAAAAAGACAGCCTAGAATTCTGATCAATACATTACGTATATAATTTATTTATATATAGATATATTCACATGTATTTAATGATATTTATAAAGGTAAAATATAGTAAATATGAAATGATCACTTACAATATTAATTGACACAAGAGGGTCTCAAACAAACAAATATAATTTAAATGCTCCCTCCACTTTTACTATCTTAAGCTTGTAAACTGAAGATGCACATATTGCTTGAGTAGTCCAGATGCACATGATAAAAAAATGAAAAAATAATTCCAGTGGTATCATAACTAGTAAGAATTCAAGTTCAATTAATATACATGAGATACATATTTCAGTAAGTACAAAGAAATTAAATAAATTCATAAGAATTTATATAATATGTATTTTTCATATATACTGCCCTGAATAAGTATCATAAACAGTGGAAAAGAAATGATCACAGCTCTGTAAACTACTTAATCACATCACAGCTGAATATTTAGCAACTTTTAATTATCATCTTCAGCTATTCCCATGTTTTTTGATCTTTTTCAGTATCACAACAAACAAAAAAACTGATTGATCATATGATATGAAATCTAGATTACAGGCATGCTGATGATTTTGGCTATTGACATTTTGGGGCCACAATGTGCTACTAGAATAGATACCTTAGATGAAAATAATTTTAAAGCTTTATTTTACTTTTTGGGAAAGTTATTATGTCATTATGTGTTACAGAGGCAATCTTTCAAAGGAAAAAAAAAAAATACTAGCAAAACACACAGAGAACATCAGGAGCAAATAAACTGTATCTAGACAATTAAATTATTGGTATAATTGTTGAAGTTAAGGTAACAACTACTTAACAAGTCTTAATAAAAACATTTAGAACACGATTATACCTTGCAAATAATTCTCTAGACAAACACAAGTTTGTCTTAATAGCTAACATTTCTTTTCTAATAGCTGAAAAAAAAAAAAAAAAATAGATTCAAAACTAAGGAAACAAACAAACAAAGGAGCATTGTTCTTAATTACAAATTTGTTAGTCTAACACATAAGAAACAGTCCAGTATCTGCTCTTAATAACAGGGGAATTAATTACGCCTGTGGCTTGTCAATTATCTGAGAATAAAGCCATATCATTTTTTTCTTTTTTGAGGTCAAAAAAGAACTTCCAGCTCTCAAATCAGCTCAACATACACTCTAAACCATCACAGATTCCATTCATCCTGAATTTTTGAAAAAGTCACTCAAAAATACAAACACTGAAAGCTGTTTTTTTGTTATTTTGCTCATGAAGTGAAAAATACAGAGGAGGAGGAGTAAAAGACATATTTGGATAGAATAATCTTAAACTGTAGAGATGGGGTGCCAAAGAGCCACTTAACAGAGACAGCAGAGGTTATTAGAGAATTTACAAATGTTCATATGATGTATGCCTGTTTGTAAATCAGGCAATCTAATAAAATACTGGTGTCTCTGTGAGAATGGGGGAAGGCAGGTGGAAAGAAAAAGTTGTTTATAAATGATTTGCAAGGATGATAATGTTTTTCAGAACTGAAACAAGCATTCTTCTTTCATACTCCGGGATTCCATTTCAAATTTGTTTTTCAACTGTGTATAGCTATTTACTAACAAGATCTGTCAGCATTATTGCACGTGAGTACAAGCTCAGGAGGGAGAGGAAAAAACCTTCCTATGGACAAGTTAAATCTGTAAAAAAAACTGAAGGACTGAATTATTTAACACTCATTCCACTGTCATTCAATTTGGCTTTCTGTGTTTTGTTTTGTTGTTTTTATTGTTGAGGCAATATAAATTTGAGGTCACTGCAAACAGAGCTGGTCTAAAATTAATTCTTCTAGTTCATGTTCTCTATTTCCTTTTAGTTTTCTGAGAAGCCTAAGTTGAACGTCTCAAGAGTTCCACAAACCCCACAGCAAATGCTGTAATTTGGATTACTTAAAAGACAGAAAGTTCTCTAATCTGACCCAGATTTTCTACTAGTGTCAGTTAACAGAATTCACTTGGCAGTCCTTCCTATTAAACAAGCCTTTATACTCCTATCTTTGAGAAAAGAATTATTGAGTAGCAGGTTAAAAAGTGTTTTAAAAAGCCTGTCTGCATTCTCAAGGGTGTAGAACTGAATTAACAATGATACTGAATGTTTGAAACATCAGTAGAAGGATCAGAACTAGTTTGAAATTTTTAGTGAAAACTGCTTTTATCGAAAGCAGTGGAATTTATCCATTTGATAAACTCCCAATAAAACAGGAGATGAAATGTCACCGGTCACTGACAAATATGTTGAATGACTGATAAAATTATTCCATCTTCCTTTCCCCTTTCCATTCCTTTTCCTTTCTTTTGTCCTTTCTATACAGCTTCCAACATTTTCAGAACATTCTACATAAGGAATTCCAACACATTTTATTTGCTATATGTACATTTGAAACAAAAATAAAGCATGACATCTCTTACATTTTGATTCTTTTGAGAAATCAAATTTTTATGATATTTTTTTAACAGGAATTACCAGCACAAGCATATCAAGAAGAGCATCTCTAGGAATTATTTAATACTTTTATTATAAATTGAAATGTTTATTAAAACTACGAGCAGCTTCTGTATCTCAAAAAATATTATCACACCAATTATTTAGCTACATTTAGTGAGTATCTGATTTGACATATACAAACCCAAAACTGTTGGCAACTCATACCATGCAGTAAAATGCTAAAAACCAGCATGAAATTTGGTACCTCAATTACTGTAACTGTAGCCAGTCACATGACTGGTTTGAAGTAACTCCACTACTGATTAATTCTCTGTGTTATTTTCTTAATTCATGGACATGATGAAAAGTCTTTACAGGAACTATAAAATACACAAGTATAGTACAACACTATGACTGGATCAAGTCATGGTATGCTGTTGTAAGGAATGTATTAGCAATCAGATAACTTGAGAAGGGAAGAGAAGGAAAAAAAAGGTATATCATAGAGTTAGCAGGGAAAAATCTACACATCAGAGTTGAGAGAGGAAAAAAGACACCAAAAGCAGATTGCTTAATCTGCCACAACTCAGGACATCATATAGACAAATTTATCAGAACCAGCTGGCTCTTCCCACTCACCCTGACAGTGACATAGCTTATGATCACCAATTCATGATGTGTCCACCTCTCCCTTTTTGTTACTCTACAGCCTGTCATCCATTGTTTCCACTCTACCAATATGAGACATTAACTAAGATTACAATTGAAATATTACTTCATTTTTTTCTTTACAGATTTCATCTGGAAGTTGACCATATATAGTGAAAAATATACTGTAACATTTATTAAACAGTAAATACACAAATACTTAGTATGCGTACACCCAACTCTAACACTAAAATTGAGAGTCGGATGTAAGCAATAAGATATATATTAAATACTAAATAAGAAGGTGATAAGAAAGTGGCTTGAATTTCTGGAAAAGTCTTTACAAACAGTAGAATGGATTTCCTTATAAAGCTTTCTGAATCTCTAAGATCTATTTAGGGAGCTCTTGCTGTCACTTTCAGAACATGTTGAAGAAACTAATACGTTTCTTCTACAAGACTGGTATACTACAATTGATATCTTTAAAAAAATCCACAAAAAATAGAACAGGATGATAATAATTATGGTTATTGGCGATCATACTAAAAATTGTGAATAGACTGACAAGACAGTACAACTGCACTCCTAGGGAGCTAAATATTGGAAGGAGAGAGCAACTTCCTTTGGAAAGATTTGCAAAATCTATCAGATATTCAGGAGATCCTAAAGGTACCCAAAAGTATGTCAGCAACTGATCCAAATATAAACAGTCCATCTGGGACATGAATGGTTGGTTCCATACGGTAATAGTCACATCAGTTTTGTACATATCACTTACGAAACGTAATATTGTAAATTCTTGTTATCCTGATAGACAATTTTATATTTATCAGCATTACTCTTTCTTTTGTTTTGTATTTCTTTGTTCTTGTTCATCAGGATCAATTACAAACAACTTTTACGAAAGCACAGAAGGATTTAGAGAGTGTGATCTTCCTGAAAACCACAATAGAGTATGTCCCAGAACAACAGAATGGTTGAAATTAGAATGGTCCATCTG